TAGGACCTCGTCTATCTTCCCGGCGGCGTGGGCAAGAAGATGGGAGCATTGCGGGTGCAGCCCTCGCTGTCAAACCGGCACCAAGCGTCTGCACGACATGGCATGCCTTCTCTGAGAATACATGGTTGCCAACCGAACTGCACAGGGTTCACAAGCAGTTCCCGAATAAACACCTGTTGCCTAGTCTACGCTGCTGAAGATCGAGGGTGTCCTGTACGAGCTGGCTGTGCCCTCGGTGTCGATTTTGCGCGGCCTCGCGTTTCGTGCTGGTGGCACCGTGTTGCTTGAGCTTGGCACGGTACGCTGCATCTCCAGTAAGGCGCTGTTATCCCACGCCGGGATTCGTGCTGCCAAGGTGGGGGAGAATTGGTTTTCAAGGAGCCCGGGTCGGTGTGTTCGAGGATTATAGCATCCTTATAGGAGGGGGCTCCCTTGTACCCTCCCCCCTTGAACCATCCCCCTTAAGGACCCTATAAGAAGACTTGCGAGGCACCCGAGCCCGCTCAACCGCGGGACGATGCAGCCGAGGGAGATGACTCAGCAGGCCTTTAGGCGAGCAGCCTCAACAAGTCTTTCGAAGCGCGAAGTAGACTCTACATTATCCATGTATTTATTTATTTATTTATTTATTTATATATGTGTGCAGGTGTTTATGTATGTATATATACATATATTAAATAGCCGCTCCAGGTTGAATTTGAGGTTTCAAGGTTCCGGGCTCTAGGACAAAGTACAGCATTGCCCGACATACTTCCAAAGGCATTACCGCAAACAGCAGCACAGCAGTGCTCGAATACAATGCGATCGAAACCCGTTGAGCCGCCTTTGAAGGGAGCATCTACAGCGTTCTGACCGAAGCAAAATGAGCGAGCCTGCTGCGGCGCTGCGGTTGACGCCTTCTCATCCCTTAGCCTGTTTGCGGAGACCTTGCCTGCGAATGCCACGACAGGTCTGTATTCATCGGCATGTGGGTGTGTCGGGATTCGACTTGAGTTGCGTTCTGAATACTGGAGCCACGCATGACGGAGTGAGAGAAAGTATGTGGGATCACGCACCCATACCTGACCACTACACGTGAGGAAAAGAGACATGTTTCAGGCATAACGGCTGTCTCTCCAGCAGCCACTTGGCTTGAAACTGCAGCAAGTCGCCATTCACAAGAGGCCCAGCCAATTCACCTGAAACCCCGTTCAGCTTCCGTCACCCCCAGCACCCCCCGCTGTGCATTCCCAATCTTGCTATTCCTGCGTGCCGCGGAGCTTAGAAGGAGCCCAGCTGCTAATATGCATTGAAACACCTCGACCCACAGCAGCAACAAGCCCGAACCCTAGAAGATGAGTCGGACTGAACCTAAGGCCAAGATCTGTTGCCCAATGTACGCACACCGTGAACAGTCTGCGACAAGCACCCCAACATCCAGACCGCTAGCCTTAAACCCGAAGCTGAGAAAGCTCCAAAGCCTCCCTAAAGTGGGACTTCGATGGGCCATGAGCCCCCGAGCCCGCGGGCATGGACCCAGGACCTAGGTTTCTCGTAGATGTTTTCTAGCTTGTCGGTTTGGGCAGGATTTGAAATTTTGAGACTGCGGTTTATGCGACTTCAAGGACTCTGGCTGGGTGTTTGCGATGATGTGGTTTAAGCATGGAGGCCCAACTTGCCCGCTGGACTCTTCAACACATTTTCTGCCGCTACAGTAGGCCCCGAGTGGAGTTTTCTCAATATTGCCTGCAATATCTGTCATTTGGGTCCTGCGCGTGAAGGTCTACGACGTAAGGTTGCCCTCCAGGATCCTGCCATCAAAGATTTACATTACAGCAAACTCCTAAGTGGTTTTCTTTGTTGCCTTATTATAACTAGAGTAGAGTGGACCCTATTGAAATTCTTTCAGGCAAACTGCCCAGTGGGCGTCTTTGTCGGTGAGGACCGGAAGCGCCTCCGCGTGAGTTTGCTGCCGCCTTCCTGGGACATTCCCGGGACAGCCCCTCGACGCACCCAAGAGAAAGCTCGACGAAGCGAAGTTCAAAAGAAAGCCTGCAGGAACGCATATAGCCATCATTCAAAGACCCCAGTTGAACCCTCTGCTAGCATACATAGTTCCCCAGACATGATATTCAGATATTCTATTAGGGCTTATGGCTTGGGTTTAGGGTTTATGGTTTGTAGAGACTTGTGGCTGTTCCGAACGGGAACCCATGCTTCATGGATTGGCGGCGGCAGGCGATGTGGGCCTTGTGCGTTCAGCTTGTGCCTCCTTCAGCTACAGAGATCCCACCGCAGCTTTGTTGCCCGAGGCCATGGGGAGCTGGAGTGCAACTTCCGGGCGACTTTGCCTATCTCCGGACTGGACAATCTTGCTACAATGACTACTACCTTGCTAGTCTATGTTGTTCCTAGCTATGTAACTGTAGTGGCATTACTTACTGCTCCCACTACGAGCCTGGTGAGCACAAGCACTACCATTGCCATGTTCACCGAGGTCACCCACCTGCCCAGTGGAGTTTTCTGGCTCGTTCGACGGCCGCTGTCCGAGTGGCAGCATCTCGAGGAGTTTCCCGGCCGTGAAGTTCAGACTACACACGATCGCGATGACGACTTTTCACGAGCTACTGCTCGACTCCGCTAGAAATCCTGAAGACGAGGTTGTCATTGAACTGTAGGGGGGGCATATCTTCAGCCGTTTCTAATTTCAGCCGGTGTTCGACATCAACTCGTATCCATCAGCAGACCCAGCAAGATACTCGTTGCATTCCGACAGAAAATATCATCATCAGCAGAAGTACCTCGGATTGAGTCAAACGAGGCCTTGCTCCTGCTGCTGAGAAGCCTAAACAGGAACGCGCACATAATGCTCCCATAAACATAGACGTGGACCCCCTAACAGTAGTGATAATGCCGAAGCCGCTCGTTAGACAAATGAAAGCAAGAAGAGTAATCGGAGCTGCACCAGCAGCGGTAGGAGGGCATAATCGCCAAAGCAAAGAAAAGGGATCCTAAACCTGCTGGACTAATGAACACTAGCCATGCGAGAGGAACACAATGGACACTGTGTAGCAGTACTACACATGACCAAATGATCTAAAAATCCCCTAAACCCTAAACCCTAAGACCCTAAACCCTAAGCCCCATAGTCCCACCTCATCCCCTATAATGTGCTTTGCCGCTCGTAGCCCTCAAAGTCTGTATGATCATTAGCTAAGGGGAAGGAGCCACGGAATTTGAGAGGGGAGTGAGAATGAAGTCAGTTGTTGGAATATCTTAATGTATTCTGAAAACTCCCGTGTAGTGATGTTTCACACATCAGACCTCGAACCACATGCCTCGCCTGGATCGTCCGAGTGCGAGCGCCGAAACCCTAAACCCTGGCTCAAGTTTGGCTCAAGTGGCTCCAGGCCTTGCGGTGGGAAGAAGCTTCGGCCATGACCTGGTGCGCCAACGTAAACCGAGCCTATGTAGTGTGCAGAAACTGCACCGGGCAGTGGATTTACCAGGACCGTATCAATAAACACCCGGAGTGCAAGGTATGTGGGAGTAAGTGGGGCGTCCCCGCTGCACCCCAACGTATTGCCACCACAAGGTCGCCTAAGGTCGGCCGAGAGACCCCGAAACCGAAGTGGGGCAAAGCCGGAGGCATAGTGCGGAAGCTGTGGGACCAATTCCCCATGGATGTGCAAACTGCTTTCCTAGCAGCAGGCTGGCAGGCGGATACGGTTGCCCCGCCACCCGGTCTTTCGCAAGAGACCAACGGGGGCATTAAGACCAATGATGCTAGTCATGCCTGCCCAGATCAGGAAGCAGTTCAGCAGTTGTGGGAAACTGCGGACCCCGTGCAACGCGACCTCCTTAGCAGAGCGGGCCTCGAGCCGCCCAAGGAGCCACAAAAAGGGCTGGAAGAGCTGTGCAGACAGTACGCGGCTGATCTACCGCCGGCTGTGAGGGCGGCCCTTGCAAGCCCGGTGGAACCCCCGAAGCCAAGCCCCAAAGAGGAATTGTACCAGATGCTTAGTACGTATACCTCGGCGATGCAGGGGCTAAAAACCTTGATCCAAAAGAAAGCCGCACTGCAACTTAGGATCGATAAGGCCAAGGCCACATATGCGAGCATGTTGGAGGACATGAAAGACATGTGTCGTAAGGTGGACGATCAAAATGCCAAGGTTGAGGAGTTGCAGAAAGGTTTGCAGCAGCAAGTGCCGACACCAATAGACCTGCATGAGCCTGGCAGTGGAGGGATCAAGGTAGAAGAGGGACTCAGGGCATTGGAAGCGGCTGGAGTGGTCTTGAGCCCTGAAACCAAGAAGGCCTTCGTACAGGCCCTAACTCAGGGAGGCGAGGCACAGGAGGAAAAACCCGTGCCACCTGCGCAAGCGGAGCTTCCACAAGATCCAGAGGGACAGGGGGGTTTCGGCCCAATGCGCGGCCAGGGTGATCGTGCGGTGCACCCGTATGGGACGGGAGAGCAGCGAGCGACGGAGTAGGGGGTATGCGAGGGTGTCCTCCGGAGGACGGGGAACACCGACTCGCAAGCAACCTTGGGGTCAAGCGGAGCGCGTGTCTTGGAATTGGCGCCGTTGCTAAGTTCGGGACAAAGCTGGAGCTTGAATGGGGAGGCGTCCTCCTTTTCACAATCTGCGGGGGTATCGCAGCTTTTATGGCATCAGTCTAAAGTGGAGCCCGGGGGGAGCCGGGGAACCCTTTGGTGCAAATCTTGTGGAGTACTTTTTGTCCCGGCCAATGAGTCGGGTTGGACCAGAGTGGTCCGGCGTCGCACGGTACAGATGTGCGAATTTTGCAACAATCGCAGGCCTACAAACCGACATGCGAGTCAACACGGGGATGGAGCTGTTTCCGATGTTGACGGTGCCGGGGTGAGGCCGCGGGGTCGCTGTAAGCAGGGTCCCGAGGCTAAGTCAAGGACCGTGTTGAAGCAGCAGCGGCGCCACAAAGTCCGTGAGGAGTGGCCCAAACTCCTTCAAATCCTTCAGAAGGCCGAGTTGAGTAGCATGGCTGAGCATGAAAGGGACATCGTTGAAGTTGTTACTCAACTGGAGCCGGACCTGGAAGAGGGAGACCTAGCCCATTGGTTGTGTGATCGCATGCTTGACCTTTTGTCCAGGAGGGCGGAGGACGCTACGGGATGTGTGGAGGCATGCAAGGATGTCATGGCGCACATGGAACAGGGGAGGCGCCCTTCCCTTTTCGAATGTGTTAGCGCCAATGTCACTCGATGGAGGAGTGAGGTGAAGCAGTGGATGACGAATCAACGGGCGGGTGTGGCTTTTGTACAGGAGACTCATCTCCTGGAAGGGGACAATCCGGGCGCAAACGCAAGTGCGGAAGCATCCGGGTATCGAATGTGGACGGCTAACAGCTACGACACTGGACAAGGTGGCAGCAGTGGTGGGGTTGCTGTGTTGGCAAAACGCCACCTCAACTTCCGCTTGTTGGATCGGTTTCAGCTGGAAGGTAAAGGTTACGTGTTGGTAGTGGCCAGATTCGCTGGTTCGGATGTTGTGATGGGTAGCCTCTACCTGGCCACGGGACAGGACTTAGGCACACCAATCAATGCAACCATCCTGTCTCAACTCATGGCTAAACTGCAAGCCTTGGCCGTGCCTTGGATTGTGGCGGGTGATTTCAACTGTGATTTGGATACCATCCGGCAAACCAGGATTGCTGAAACCACGAACGGTGCATTCATTGGTGCCGGGGAGGCCACATGCAGCACGGGGGGCCAAATTGATTACGTGTGGGCCCATAGGCGTCTCCAGGGCCTAGTGTCGGTCAGTGCTGATTGGGAGGTGCCTTGGAGGCCGCATGCGGCTTTGCGCATTCAACTGCACTGGAATGTCGGACAACTACCAATGTTGCAGGTCCCAAGGAAACCGGCGGCACAGGCCAAGAAGGAGGCGTCCTTCTCTTGGTCCCCGGCCCCCTTTGTGCGTGTCATGGTTCACGTGCAATTCAACCGTGCCACCAGGTGGATTGCGGACTTCAGTCATAGTGTTGAGGAGTCTCTTTTGGATGCAGGGGGCCAGGGTCGAGGCTGGAACCTCGCGTGGGTGAGGAAGCCTCTCACACCCCAGCAACCGGCAGGCATTCAATGGAAAGGCAATCATGCTGGATACTGGAATCGGCTTGGGGTTTGGTTGGCGTCGTACCCGGTTGGGAGGTTCCCGCCTGGTGTTCGTGACAAGCTGACTGTGCATTTGGCCAAGGTTGCGGAAAACTGGCACGACGAAAGCTTGTGCATGACGGCAGAGGAGTTTGCGGACCGGATGTGCCACGAAACACTCGATGCAAGTAGTCAGCGTCAGAGGCTGGCAGCAGTGGTCAAAGCGCAGTTGCGGTGCGCCACCCAGCTGGATACAAACGAACGAAATCAGCGGTATCAGGAGTGGCTCACCCAAGCCGGTGCAGGCCACATGAGGCCTTTGTGGAGGGCACTCAAAACTCACGAGGCCAAAACTCAGCGACCGTACCAAAATCTCAGCATGGAAGTCAGGAGCCACGCTCGCAGAGCGGGGTGGTGGGAGATTTGGTGTGCGGCGGACAACACCCGCGACGTTGTTCAGTTGCGAACCCTGAGCACACAGGTGCGAATGGCGGCGCAAGCGCAGGCGCAGCAGCTGCGGCCAATCAACTTGGAAAGGGCCCATCGTAAGTTCCGAACCATTGCTCGTAAGGCCTGCGGGCCGGACGAATGGACGGCTGACATGCTGAGGGCGCTTACTCAGGAGGCCGGGACTCTCCTAGTTGAAGAAATGATGCAGTGGGAGCGGGAAGGAGTCCTTCCCGACCAGCTCACAATGGTGCGCTACACACTCTTACCAAAGTCGGCAGAGGATGAGCGACCCATTGGTCTAACGAGCTACCTCTATCGGTCCTATTGTCGTCTCCGGTGGGACTTGTACGCGCAGTGGCTGGAAGACTACAGGCGAAGTGCGCCATGGGACCGAGCCCTTCCAGGGCACTCGTCTCTTGACACAGCGCTTGCTAGAACTGCGCGTCATGAGGTCTGCAAGCACACGCGCAAACATGGGGTGACTGCCCTGGTTGACTTGTCCAGTTTTTACGAGCTGGTTCCTCATACAATCTTGCTAAGGGAGGGTCTTGAGAAAGCATTCCCACCGGTTTTGCTCAATGCCGCCGCCCAGGTTTACGGCGGAAGCCGTTTCATAGAGGCGGAAGGTGTCACTGCGGCGCCGATTCGGACAAACCAAGGACTGATTGCAGGATGTCCACTGGCCCCAGGCTTGAGCAAGATCATCCTGCACAACCCCATGCAAATGCTTTTTGACTCAAAACTCCTCACCCACCAAGACTTGTGGATTGACGACATAGGACTCGATGTGATACACCAGAGCCCAACGCAGGCCGCCATTCGGAGTGTGAAGGCCTTTCGCCTGTTGAAAGCTGCGCTGGAGGAGTCCTCCCTGGTGTGGTCCAAGAAAAGACGGTTTTCGTGTGTACCTCGGGGGCAGCCAAGGCGGCAGTGGAGAGGCTCAGGACCAGCGAAGATCCGCCCATCGCTCTCACCTCAACCGACCTTGGGTTGGATTGTGGCGGTGGCGTCCGCCGCAGAGTGACCAAACATAGGTCGCGCCTCCACAAGGCGGCAGGTAGACAGAAGAGGCTGAGGGCTTTGGCGCCCAAAGACAAACGGGTAAAAATCAGGATGGTCAAAGGTTCGCTGCAGCCAGTGGGCATCTATGGCCACCAGGCAACAGGAGTCACACCGCGGAGGTTTAAGTGGCTTAGGTTCCTGTATGCGGAGGCTCTGGGTCGCATGAAAATAGGATCCGTCATCTGTGTGCTGGAAGCTAATGCCGGCCGCACGCGGGACCCAAAGGAAGTCATCATGGCACAGCACATCCAGGCGCACAGCCGCATGATGCTGCAGTGGCCACGGGAAGCCGAGGACAGCCTCACGAAGGCTTGGCAAGCGCTGCAACAGAGTCTCAGTGAAACCCGTTGGCCTTGGCAAAAGGTGACTGGGCCTTTGGGGGCCATGGCGACTTACCTTCAAGAACTGGGCTGGGAAGCACAAGGGCCCCGGCACTGGTCAATTGACGGACAGACGTACGACGTGGCATCCGCAGCGGGGCTACATGCAGTGGTGTGGCATCTAAAAAACGCCATACAGCAACAGAGGTGGACAGCGGTGGCTGCCACGCCGGGAGCAGAAAACGTTGTCAGCGGCATTGATTGGCAGGCCGCCAATAAGGCAGTAAAACACCTTGCTCCTCTGGAGAAGACGGGTGTGCAGACTTTGTGGCAGGCAGCGCTAAAAGCAGGACCGGGGGCCTTCTGTCAAAGGTGCCAGACAGAGGCCTCACTCCAGCATGTTCTGTATGACTGTGCAATGTGGGGTAGCCATGCACTGCCTCCTCCGAGTATCCTGTCAATGCAAGCACATGGGTGTCATACCAGCCTTTGGTTGCGCGGGCTTCCGGCCAAACGCGCCTTTTACGAAGTAGACTCGAGCGTGGAAATCAAAGGGGTCTGGCCAGTGCCAGATTTGACGGATGTCCGGTTTGCCACGGACGCCACAGGACCGAAGGACCCGCGGGAAGGCCCGGTCATCTGGGGAGTTATTGCCTTTCGTGTCCTAGCAGGGGGCGAAGAAGGTGAATTGCACACGGGCCGAATCCAAGTGGTGGGGTCCATCACGGGTGCTGTGTCCTATGAGCAGACAGTCTTCAGAGGCGAGGCCGCGGCGGTCTGCGAGACTGTCCAGGCACACCCTGGAGAGGACGAGTTGGACATCACGTTGGACTGCGAAGGAGTCCTTCGCAGGATCCAGAGGCGTGGCCCAGGGCATAGTAACCGAGACCTGTTGGACCCGGTTAGAGCCGTCGCACACCGGGTGCGATTAACGTGGGTCAACTCACACCTTGGCAGAAAGGCCTTCGAAGCAAAGTTTGGGAGTGATAAAGAATGGCGGCGACAGGCCAACTGTGTGGTTGATGAGCTGGTCAAAAAGCGCTCCCTGCGCATCGCCGGCCCGACTGTACAAGCAAGTGTCAGGCTGTGGGACAAGCAAGTGCGAGAAGTAGTGCAGTTTCTCGGCCAACGGGTGTCGTTTCTCCTCACCGCAGATGAGGCAGACAAGGCGGAGGTCCTGTTCCAACCCAAGGCTGACCGGCTTGGTCGCGGAACACCCCACGCCACTTCGACCGATCGAGGTGATGCCACCAGGCTCAGCCGTAGGCAGCAGCTCGAGTTGCTAATCCAAGAGGGAACGCGGGGAGGACACTGCTGGCAGGAGTCCCACCGTGGCAGCACAAACCTCACCATATCCTGTCGCAAGTGTGGCTTGTATGTTCAGCAAAATGACAGCGCTTGTATCTTCGACAGGAAAACAAAGCAACTCTGTGCTGGACAAGCCATGGAACCACTCCCTGGCATGCACCCTTCGCACAAATTGGAGAGCTTGGGATCGGCTTTCATTTGCATCCAGTGTAAACGTGTCCAGCGCGTCGGGTTCCGCGCCTTAGCCCCGGTTTTTGGCAAACTCTGTGCCCCCACTCAAACCTGCAACAGCAAGCTGTCCAAGTTGTGGCGGCAGGGCCGAGAAGCGCAGCAGCATGCCCTACCAGGCGGGGGGGGGGCAGGGCAGCCGAGAAATCAGGGTCGGAAGAAGCAGACCTTTAAGAAAAACTCGGTCAGTGATGACAACAGTGGCCTTGTGCAGCCACGTTTGTCTTTCCGCCCACCGCCGAGGGCTCAAGACAGTAGCCCGCGCAGTGGGTGACGGTGGGGAGGCTCTGGTTGGCGTCCAACCGGGGTCTCCCGTCGCTAGCCATGGAGGGGGATGCGTCCCATGAGGAGCTCAGGCAAAGATGGCAGGAGCTCAATGAGCAACGGCAGGCGCAAGGCCTCAAGCCGCGAAGCTACAGGGACTTCCTAAAGTCCCGCAACAGGGAAGGTAGGCGCACAAGACTGGGCCTTGCAGTGGAGGACTACAGTGTGGAAAACTCGCCGGGAGAAGGCAGGCTGTTGCCCCCTGGCTTGAACCCGCCGCCTCCTCGAAGGGATAGGACGGCACCCTTTGCTGCAGAACAGACAGGAGAGGTAGCGTCCGCCTCTGCGCAGCCGCAGCAAGAGGCCACGGCACCCAACACTGAAGGGGAGGAAGCGTCCTCCTCTTGGCAGAGGCCGGAGCAGGGACCTCTACGCTCTCCTGAGTCCGCCAGAAAGCGCAGGCTGGAGGCCGAGACTGAGGAAGGTGGGCAGGCCGTTAGGCTGCGGTCGGCTTCTGCAGTCCGTAGAGACGCCGCTGGCGAGGAAGAAGAGAGCAACGAGGTCGAGACGCAAAGGCCCTACGACAGTCACACGGAAGGTCCCCGGCCGGAGGCGTCCTCTGGCTGGGGGGACGAGGGCCCGAGTTTCCATGCAGCAGTGGAACGCGAGGCCAATAGGAGAAACGTGCGATTGATGCACCACCTTATGGGGTCCGTTTTGGTCCTCTACAGAAGCCCACTTTCGGGAGCGCTCCTACCACGACCGGCGCACATGCGAATGGAAGGCAAGGGCAACCAGAGGATTGCGTATTCCTTTGGCTCCTATGTGCTCAAAGTCACAACTTTTGCCTACGACCATGGGTCTGAGGAGTACTACAGTACCCGGTTCACCAAACTGTGTGCTATTGTGGTGCACGCGGGGCCTCTCAATGTTCGTATTGGGCAGGGTGCCCGTGCAGAGTATGCTGTGCTCCACTGTCTGGTTCACGAGAAAGTGAACAGAAAAGCCGAGCCTTGGCTAAATGCCCAAACGCCGGCGATAGTCAGGGAATGGTTCAGCTACCTGCTGGCCGTGGTTACCTGGCTGGGAGCCTGCAGGGTCAGGGTGGCAGACATCACGATCTCCAACTTGGGCTTGAATGAGGATCACGACTTGGGGAGCTGGTCAAGCTTGCCATACCCCCAGTGGGGTGGCGGCAGCGGCCTTGAACGGCTTCTGGCCCAACGTGAGCCGGAGCTGCTACGACAGTTAAAGGCGCGCACCACAGAAAGGCTACAGGCTCTCTTTGAGCACTTTGCCTCCCAAGCGGGGCGGTTTGCTGGGTTCCTTAGCCAGCAAGGCGTGGCGCAGTCAGGGGAGCATCGTAGAATGGCTCCCTCGCTGAGGCTGACTCGAGACGAAGAGGGGGACCTGTCTACCTGAGCGGGCCTCTCCAGAAGCCAACGCGACTCCAAAAGCCTGCTGGCTGGTGTCCAGCCACGGAGGGTACAGCTGACACCTGTTTCCAAAGGAACAGGGCACCCGCCGGATGGCGTCCATCCGGGGTTTTTCTAATTAGGTGCATGCGGAGCCTACGGCTGCGGAGAGCAACGAGCGAGAAACCCTAAACCCAAAAAAGCCCCTGTTTTGTCTGAAGTTGCTTTGCCTCAGGCGGCTGCTGCGTGAGGCCGGCAGGCTCCCAGGGCCGGCCAGTGCCGCTGAGCCCGAACTGCAAGCTTATTAGATGCATATGTATATATATATATATATATATATATATGTATGCTTGTTTTATTTGTTTTTGAATACGATGATGTTTGTGAGTATGCATATGATGCATGGCTTTCTGAAGTTTGAAGATGGTTTCTGCGAACGCTGTACTATGCTTGACGCGGGACAGACGAGGTGCAGACTTTTCAGTGGAAAGTTAGATTTCGGAGGTGTTTCGGATCCCTGTTCGAAAGGGTCCTCGTTTTGTGTACACTCTTTCGAACCGCTTTCTTACATCCGGAAAGGGTTTTCTCCGAGAGCACCGTGCTTGGTGCTGGTGAACCTAAACGTCCCCCAGCCCTGAAGCGATGCTCACGAAAGCCTGGACTGCGGATTCCGTGACCCTAACGGCCTTAACCAGACTGAACCTTGTCTTTGTCATAGTTGGGTAACATTTTACATGTTTATTGGTACTTAAACCCAATAAGGAATAAAATTTTACAATCTTTACTCCTATCCCAACCATGAACTAGTTGTGTTGCTTTGCTTCAGGCCCGTACCTCTGCTGGTGCAAGCCGCCGGTCTTCAGGCTACTGCACTGAAAAAACCCCGGAGCCAACCTCATGGTCAGCGGTTTAGGGGTTAGGGTTCAGGGTTTCAGGGCAGGGTTTGGGAATTCTATTCTAGGCTCTAGGGGTCCCTTGATGTGAGGTGGCTCAAGCCTTGGTCCTTGCTGCTCGCACCTGCATCGGGTACTATAGGTTACTAGTAAGAACTACCTATACTATCTTGGTGGTTTCTTCGTACCCTTACAGTATAATATACCGCCAACACCCGATTCTAATTATGAAGGCCCCTATACTCTAGTACCCTTATAGATCCCTTACAGTATTTTAGGTCCTTATAGACCTTATTCTAATCATGAAGGCCCCTCTGCCTCTCGTCTTTTTTGGGGCCGATCGCCAGGCTTCTTCTTCCGACGATCCTCGGATGTCTCCCGCAAGCAGCTGGAAGCGCTTCAGGCGCCTTCCGATACCTTCACCCAGAGACTCCAATATCCCGGAATATGCCGTAAAGGGTTCCTTCACGGGATCTATAAGGGTTCTATAAGGGAAGTAAGGAATATACCAAAAATCATATTCGGGATCTTCGTATAATTTAAGGTATATAAGGGATATATCCTACTATAGTTTGAGGTATATTCCTTCATTAAGGGATCCCGGGAGTCTTTGGGCCGAAGCCTTCGCCTCGTAGCCTTCCGAAGCCTTCGACTCGCACTCGGAGGGTCAGGGGACTTAGTTCCTACCTGGACCCCAAAAGCATGTAGAATAACAGGCGTTTATAGGTCTTGGGCCATTATTTTATCTACTTTTTTTTTGGTGGGGGGGGGGGGGGGGGCTAGGTAAGGTTGTATATAGGGCAACGCTTGTTAAAAAACTGTTTATAACCCCAAGTAGGGTACTAATGACCTTGCTTACTAAGTCCCTGATCCTGCAAGTAGGAATAGCACTCACAGGGGCGTTGAATCCTGCGATATGTTGGGAGCTCCGAAACCTCTTATATATGAGCCTTAATGATTAGAGTAGGGCATTTTGGGATGTATTTTGCTTCAAGATATCATATGGAATATTACCCCTGCAACCGAAACAGGGACCCGTTGCCTGATGAGACTTCGAACTGGATGCTACTAGCAGTGCATAGCAGTGCCAGGGGTGTTCTCGTCCCGACTCATTTCTGCAATGGTGTTCGTTACCGATGTGAGGCTGTGTTCATTCATACCTCTACCATCGCTTGTAATTCAACTCCGAACCGTAGCAATGGAAGCAGTAGAAATAATATAGCAACAATGTGCAGGGTGGCAATAAGTAATAAGAATCATGGCAACAATGAAATTTGCAGTACGGTACTCGTAACAGTTTCTCAGGCAGATAACAAAAGACCACAAGAACTCCGAAAGACGCACTGAACCCTGCAGCTGTCTGGTGCAGGCCCAGCTTGCGGTGATTCTGTCAGACAGAGAACTGCGCGACAGCAGCGTGCTGCAGGACTTGGCTGCAAAAGTTGGGAAGATTTGAGAGTGCAGACTTAGAGAGGTTTCGGTGTTCAGCGCAAGGAGGTATCCAGGTGTAGCAAAGGGTGGGGGGGGTCTCGAACATGCATACGCTTCGGGACGCATATTTGGGGTTGCGGGACTTGGGCAGCAAACAGCAGTGGGCCGAAAACCTGTACAGTGTTTCGGCGAGAACTGGAAACCACAAAACCCACAAACCCTAAACCCTCATCGTCTTTGTGACCTAAACCTAGCCGAGCCCTACAGCCCTAACTCTGCAAAAAAGCCCAAGCGGATAAAATAAAAGACAACCAAAAAAAACAAGATCAATCCAAAGCAACCACCCTATTCACACAGCAAACACCCCCATTCACAGAATACGCAAAATGTCTACTACACACAACCCTAAGCCCCAAAACCTTAAACCCTAAAGCCCCAGAACCTCGCCTGGAGTTGTGAGAGCGTAAACCGGAAAACTCTAAACCTTAAAGCCACTTGAACCTCTCAGTAGCATTCAGTAGCTCAGCTTCACCAACTCATCAGTAGACCTCGAACCATATGCCTCGCCTGGAGTGTGTGTGTGAGCGCCGAAGCCCTAAACCGCGTCAACCCTGAAACCCCCTCCCTGGCCTGCGGGGGCCGAGCTTGAGCGCCGAAACCCCAACTGCGAAGCCTTAAACGCCCCAATCCCCACCACCACCAAAAAACAAATTCAACACGGCTGAATTCATGGAATTTAAGGTTTGGAAGGTTTCGGTAAGAACGCTACAGTCCCTGTATAGTGATAGTGATATCCTCTTATATCACAACATACCCCCCCCCTTCACCTCAAGTCCCCAACTTCGGGGGAGCCGAAGAGTCCAGGACTTCCTGGGAGTCCCAGCCCAAGCTCCCGAGATGCTCGGTCTGAAGAAGAACGGGTCTGCAAGGTCCTTGACGGCCTCAGTTTAGGGTACGAGGGGGGGGGGGGGGGTGATTTTCTGAGGTCCTCAATTTAGGGTTTAGGGAACAGGGCAAATAATTAGACTGGGATGTTGTGGGCCTTCTTGGAGTGCAGTGTGTCATGAACCGTTTTTCAGATGTCTTTAGTAAAGCATCGGACTCTGCCAGAGTTTGGGATTTCAGGTTTAGGCCATTTCGTGCTTTTGGGTTACGGCCCGAACTGCCATAATCCTATGATAACCACCCATGAACCCTAAGAAGCCTTGGCCGCACGGGAGTTTACCACTCCTGGCTTCTTTTGCATTGCTCAGCTTGGCTATAAAATTCCCATTGCTCGCATGCTCTGAGGATGCCTAGCAGTGTCCGGATCGTGAACCTCCGGAGATGCCACGACGGCCGCGGCCTTGGAGTTTTGCAGGGTTCAGAGAGGGCTATAAGGCAGGTGACTCGATTATCTTGAGCCTGGAGGCAGGCTGCGCTTCTGGGAACCTTGCCACATGTCCAGACCCGCAACTGTAGAGCCTCCTACTTCTATAGTATGGTGGTTTAGAAATGTTTGATGTAGGAGGCTCCTTAATTAGGAATCCCCCTGCTCGTTTGATTAGGGTTCTTATATTGCGGATTTGATTATGTTGGAGAAGATGCATTTGGTAACGCATCGAAGCTTTCAGGGTACGTCCATGTGTGTGTGTGTGTGTGGGTGAGTGATAGGAGGCTTGGAGTCTTTGAGGCCCCGATCCGTCATCATAGTTTGGTAAGCTGAACTGCCAACGGACCTGGTTCTGAGTGAAACCGCATCCTACTAACAAACTTGGACCCTGCAGAGTTCAACAAACAACCCGTGTTTAAAGGGCAGAATGGTCTTCTCAACTCCAGCATCCGATACCGGTCGATACCGAAAGCACATACTATGGAGGGGGCTTCGGGGCTCGGGGCGGAGATGTTCGCACCAGCACATACTCTTAGGGACGCCTAGTGCGATGTTCTGAAGCCGAAGTATGTGGGTCTTCAGGCGAACACTGTGGGAACGGGGTGGAACCCATCTTTTTTTTGCTGTCGTTGCCTTATGTCGTTTTTGTTCTCCCTGCGTGGACCCAGCAAGCCGGTGAGTGAGTGAACCCCGGCTCCCGCAACCACAGCAAAAAAGGGTTCCCATCGGTAAGAGAGTTTTGTTTTGCTGTCGTCGCAGGGCGCTTCTTTTTGGTCGTTGCCGGGGGCGCGTTGTTTTTTTGCTGTCGTCCCCCCGGGCGTATTTTTTTCTGCTGTCGTTGCAGGGGCGTGATTTTTTGTTGCTGTCGTTGCGCTTCCCGGTGAGTAACAACAGCAAAAAACGCGCGTCGGGGGACGACAGCAAAAAAAGCCGCCCCTGCACCGGGAACGGCGCTTCAGTGAAGCCGAACCATTAAATCCTAAAGTCCTTGTGCCGAGGCGAGGCGGAAGTTCAGCTGGAGGTGCAGACGAGTCCCGAGAAGGCAAGAATCAATTCTGAAACGCTTCGGAAAACTTTTAAGATGACGGGCTTAGGGCGTGCATGCGATGCTTCAGTTTGCGGGTGACATACGTGATGCACTATCCTAGAGTTATCCCCAGTATATCATCATGCCCCCCTCTTGGGCTTCCATGCGTTTATTGAGCGGCTTGCGGGCCTTTGGTGACCTTGGTGTGTAGTTGTTCGCTTGGGGCACTGGGTTGAGTCACAAGTAATGGCTGGCTTCTAGCTTTTTACGACGCTTCGGAAGCTGAGGGTTCATTCCTTCGGCTTGGTGCTCGAATTAAATTGCCACTACGCGAGCTTCTTGATTGTCCAACAAAGGTATGTGTAGCAAATAGCTTCATTCTAAGAGATCCTAGAGAAGCCCCCGATGAAAACCGATAAGAAGCCCAAACCTGTGTACATAGCCGCCACGAAGCCGTCAGTCCGTCGGCGCCCGCATTCATCTTCATGCTGTTCTACACAAAGGTTCGTTTGGTCCGTTCTAGGGAGGGCCTTTATCAGAGCAGATCGCACCACACTCGCAAAAGGCTGAGCAGTGATTTTGCGTCAACAGAACCCTTCTGCTGCGCACTGTGGAAAAAGATGCGTTTGGAAGCCCACTACGAGTAGCCGCTGCTGGAACAGTAGCACTGTCCCATGTGACATTCGGTCATTGGTGCTTCTCCTCACTCTTGGCGACTCCAAGGGTCCGAGGATAACAAACTATGTGGACCAAAAAGGAGACCCCTACGGCCCTACTACACCCTTAACCCTCCTTGCACTGAACCCGAAACGAAAGCTGAACCCCAAAAGGCAGAAAACCCCAAGAGTTTAAAAGTCTCGACCGGGCCGGGAAGCCCCGACAGGCTTTGGTTGAGGGCCGCACGAGCGCCACTCATGTGGTAGCCACGGTCCTCCTTCTGAGACCCAAAGGCCAGAGAGGATTTGAGTCTTTACTTCTATCTTTTCGAGAGGGGGGTGAGGGGAGGAGAGGGGAGGGGACTAGTGATGCTGTATTTCTGATGTAGGAGCCCACAAAGTTCGAGCAAGCCCCTGTGAGACTCTGTCCCAGCAAAATTTGGATCTTTGCTCACTTCTTCTCCTGACCTCAAGTCCTGAACCGCAGGTGCAGAGGAGGAGTTGGAAGAGATCGGTGACTTCAAGGCAACCGCCGAACTACCACTCAGTGCTGACATGTGACGACCCTAACAATCCCAAGAGCCAGAAGGACCCTGGGATCCTTGCCAGAAGCTCCGAACTTGCCTCCATGACGGCTGGAGCCACTTCGAATGGATCTTCGATACATCTGAAGAACGTTAGAGCCTGGGGAGGGCTTTAGGATCCCAATGTAGACCCTCCGTCCTGGGTTTCGTGTTGCATCTCAGAATCCCGAATTTGGCGCAAGGTCCCTGCGGGCTCTTCGGAGCCTCTGACGATCCACGGCCTGGGAGCCGACAGAGCTTACGAGTTCCAGGCTGGGTAAGACCCAGAGACATCCAGAGACTCTAATATCCCTTGATTAAGGAATATTCCTGAAAGCATATTAAGGATCCTACTATAATTTAAGGTATATTCCTTAATTAAGGGATATTGGAGTCTTTGGGGACTCGGGCAAGAGGTCTCTGAGCAGAGTAGAAATGGCAAGTCCACCGTGTGAGCTTTCTCGGGCGTGTGCCTTTACTTAGCCGGACATCGGCCGAAATTGTCTTCCGTGGTTTTCGCCACCCAGGAGGATGTAGACCCTTGATAGCTTGGCACTGGTTCTGCTTGCAGCGGTGCGCTCTGTGGATTACGTACTTGCGGCCCTCAACCCTGAACCAGCAGAACTCGGACTGAGAGACCAAGCCTGGAATCGAGCATATTTGTACTTTCCAGCAGCAGCCTGCGAGCGGGGATTTCGCACGCCACCACCAGGAAGTAACACCCTCAACCCCAAGGGCCTCCTGTCCCAGATAGCTCTAATGGCCTTAGAAGCACGTGCTGTCGCGCAGTTCTCCCAAGCCCTGAACACAAAGGTGCGGCACATCAGATGACACCCGCGCGTCACATTTGAGAGACTGCAAATGTTCTGCTGACTTAAATCCACCGCTCCAAGCAGACCAAGACAGACGGGAGGCCGAAATGCTGAGATCACAAACTTGCAATATAGTGTATCGTTATTTGTGCGCCAGGCCAAGCAACGCTAAAAATTCAAAATGCAATGTATGGCCTGCAAGCAGCATCACCGAAATATACGCGTCGTAAATATGTTTGATAGCAGCCCTTATGGTGTCTGGAGGTGAAGACGGTCAACGACGTGGGCAGTTCTCCAAGTGTTCGCATTCGCGTGCTGGTGCCCACGGACTTGCCCGAGCCGGTGTTGCCGTACCAGGCTGGGATGCAGAGCCGGGAAGTCATGTATACGCACAGATTTTCATGAAAATTTGACGGTGAATCGTGATGGTGATTACCGGCAGGAATCGCCGGTGGGATGTTGCTTCTGCTGTTGCCTGACGATATATATATGAATATATATATATATATGGGACCTTTTGTGGTATCTGCGACAACTGACATTGACATTTGCATTGCTGGTGCGTACGAGTGCCTGTGCCATATTGTTGGGATGGCCATGGATTGCCACTCTCAGTGTTAGCATAGACGTGTTAATGCTTGTGGCATCGGTAGAGTGAGGGCTACTGCCATTTTCAAGCCTCGCTACCAGTGTTACCATGTTCTGTTGTTTCCTGTTCGGATGAGTAATACTACCACTAATACCACTACCCCTACTAATACAAAAAACACGTACTAATCTGTGCTACTGCTGCGACGACTGCAACCACGAATCATAATCATAATACCTAGACCCCCAAAAGTAGGTAAAATAATTTCCCAAAACCTATAAAAGGCTTTTATTCTACATACTGTGGGGGTCCAGGTAATGCCGTCATCCTGCGAGTTTTATGCTGCCACAACATGCTAAGCGTCTTAGCGGAAAGCCGAGCTCGACCAACTCTAGCAAAAGCAGTTAGTTCCTCGTCCAGAGAAATCGTGATTGATATCCAAGGGATGGGTTCCCAAACCCTCAGCTGAACAGCCTCGGTTGGAGAGTCCGAAAGCGAGAATCCAAGCCCCAATCTTCAAACCAGCCTCCTGCAGGGTGCTTCGGAGGTGGTGCCCAGCAAAGCCGTGCTGCGAGGTGCTGCAGACTTCCTGGGCAACGTACCCGCTGCCCTCAGTCCGATCCAGTCCAGGATTTTAAGGAGTTTCTCGTAAGGGTTTGTAGAGCAGGGACCGAGATGCTTGGAGGATCTGCGTCGCGCAGTGTTGGAGCGATTCTCGGATGTGGGGGGCGACAAGAGTAGCCCAGTAGGCACCCTGGCAACTGGACACAGACGGAGCCTGCGAAATTTTTCAGTACCCATAAAGTGAACCCTTCTGCGAGTCCTGGTCTTAGAAAACCGCGCTGAGGACACGAGTCTGGAGTCGACTGCAGACACGACCGAGCTGCCACCAGGCCCAGCCCAGGCTCGGGCAGTAGCACCGTCATCCAGGGTTTAGGGTTTTAGGGTTTAGGGTTCCTCCCGCGGTCTCGAAATCTGGCAGCTGGCACACCTCGCTGGGTGACTCGATGTTTCACACTAAATACCTCAGCAAGGGAGGATTCGCTTTGAAGCTGCGAGGCCAGCGGCGACAAGCCATCTGCAACCGACACGTCGACGGAAGCTCCGGCAAGCTTGCACCAAGAGGCCACAGCTTGCAAGTCGTGAATGCGCATCTGGTGGATGCCCAGGAGTTTTAAGTTGTCCTCAAATTCATCAGGGACAAGTAAGTACAATTCTCAACAAATGGTTCGTGGGAGCTTACCATCGCATGTTCGCATTGTGGGCGAAGCCTGGTCCAGGAAGAGTTATCTCGGATGTGCATGTTTAAATGCTGCAGATGTTATGTCCGGCGATGCGATGGTTGTGCAGTGGCAGTAGCCAGAAACAGTGCAACAGCACCTGCATCGCGAGCCGAGGCCAACGGCGACGCCGACAAGCCTGCAGTTGCTGAGGCAGCTGTCGTCACAAACGACACGGTCTTGCCGGTGCCGGTGCCTGCTGAAGTTGAAGCAGCAGATGCCGTCGACACCGGCTAAATCATTGCAGGATGGAGCATTTTACCGGGTGGTTTCTCGGCCTGCCCCGCGCACAATTTTCCAGTACCTTCTAACAAGACAAGCAGGCAGCGGCTGAGATGCCGGCGCCTGACACATCAGCTGAGGCCGGGGAGGATTAAACGTCATGCAATGCTCCGGATTCACTTTCGGGTCTTCTAAGACGTTTGATTTCTTGGGCGTGTGACACATCGGCGTGCAGTTGAGCTAGTGCACGCCGCACAGGCCAGCTGCAGCGAGCCATCTGCGGCCAAAGATCCGCCGGCGGATGGTCTTGCGCAGCAGCAGGCGAGAGCAGCAAGTAGTTCTGTCGGGATCGGGGAAGCGATCGCTTAGAGTTGAGATACGCCGCTCAATCGTTTAGCATGCTCCAGCATCTTACTCTGTTTGTGTTTGTCCGCTCCGTTGTCACAGCTGCTGGCATATGCCGCTTTGCATGCAGGAAGTCGTGGTGGAGCAACAGGCGTCTCGAGTGCACATGTGCGGACGTTGCGGGATGGTGCAGGCGTGGTGACGTAGAGTCTAACGATGTGGCGGGGACTGGCAATAGCAAGCAGCAGCGCACGATTACCTCAAAGATAATTTTCGCGAGCCGAGGCCAGCGGCGACGCCGACAAGCCTGCAGTTGCTGAGGCAGCTGTCGCCAGAAACGACACGGTCTTGCCGGTGCCGGTGCCTGCTGAAGTTGAAGCAGCAGATGCTGTCGACACAGACACTCGGCTAAATCATTGCAGGATGGAGCATTTTGACGGGTAGTTTCTCGACCTGCCCCGCACGCAATTTCCAGCACCTTCTAACAAGACGACGCAGGCAGCCGCTGAGATGCCGGCGCCTGACACATCAGCTGAGGCCGGGGAGGATTAAAAGTCACGCAGTGCTCCGGATTCACTTTCGGGCCTGCTAAGACGTTTGATTTCTTGAGCGTGTGACACATCGGCGTGCAGCTGAGCTAGTGCACGCCGCACAGGCCAGCTGCAGCGAGCCATCTGCGGCCAAAGATCCGCCGGCTGATGGTCTTGCGCAGCAGCAGGCCAGAGCGGCAAGTCGTTCTGTCGGGATCGGGGAAGCGATTGCTTAGATTTCGGATACGCCGCTCAATCGTTTAGCATGCTCCAGCATCTTTCTTTCTTTGTGTGTGTCCGGGCCGTTGTCACAGCTGCCGGCATTTCCGCCTTTCATGCAAGAATCCGTGGTGGAGCAACAGGTGTCTCAAGTGCACATGTGCAGACGTTACAGGACGTGGCAGGCATAGTGTCTAACGCTGCGGTGGGGACTGGCAGTAGCAAGCAGCAGCGCACGATTACCTCAAAGATAATTTTCGCGAGCCGAGGCCAGCGGCGACGCCGACAAGCCTGCAATTGCTGAGGCAGCTGTCGCCAGAAACGACACGGTCTTGCCGGTGCCGGTGCCTGCTGAAGTTGAAGCAGCAGATGCTGTCGACACAGACACTCGGCTAAATCATTGCAGGATGGAGCATTTTGACGGGTAGTTTCTCGACCTGCCCCGCACGCAATTTCCAGCACCTTCTAACAAGACGACGCAGGCAGCCGCTGAGATGCCGGCGCCTGACACATCAGCTGAGGCCGGGGAGGATTAAAAGTCACGCAGTGCTCCGGATTCACTTTCGGGCCTGCTAAGACGTTTGATTTCTTGAGCGTGTGACACATCGGCGTGCAGCTGAGCTAGTGCACGCCGCACAGGCCAGCTGCAGCGAGCCATCTGCGGCCAAAGATCCGCCGGCTGATGGTCTTGCGCAGCAGCAGGCGAGAGCAGCAAGTCGTTCTGTCGGGATCGGGGAAGCGATTGCTTAGATTTCGGATACGCCGCTCAATCGTTTAGCATGCTCCAGCATCTTTCTTTCTTTGTGTGTCCGGGCCGTTGTCACAGCTGCCGGCATTTCCGCCTTTCATGCAAGAATCCGTGGTGGAGCAACAGGTGTCTCAAGTGCACATGTGCAGACGTTACAGGACGTGGCAGGCATAGTGTCTAACGCTGCGGTGGGGACTGGCAGTAGCAAGCATTCGCGAGCCGAGGCCAGCGGCGACGCCGACAAGCTTGCACTTGCTGAGGCAGCTGTCGCCAGCCACGACCCGGTCTTGCCGGTGCCGGTGCCTGCTGAAGTTGAAGCAGCAGATGCTGTCGACACAGACACTCGGCCAAATCTTTGCATGGTAGGAGCATTTTGACGGGTAGTTTCTCGACCTGCCCCGCGCGCAATTTTCCAGCACCTTCTAACAAGACGCAGCAGGCAGCGGCTGAGATGCCGGCGCCTGACACATCAGCTGAGGCCGGGGAGGATTAAAAGTCACGCAGTGCTCCGGATTCACTTTCGGGCCTTCTAAGACGTATGATTTCGTGGGCGTGTGGCACATCGGCGTGCAGCTGAGCTGGTCGCCGCACAGGCCAGCAGCAGCGAGCCATCTGCGGCCAAAGATCCGCCGGCGGATGGTCTTGCGCAGCAGCAGGCGAGAGCAGCAAGTCGTTCTGTCGGGATCCGGGAAGCGCAGCGATCGCTTGGATTTCGGATAGGCGTTGCGTGCTTTACCATCATGCTTTGTTGGGTTTCTGTCAGCTGCGGGCATGATGGGGCATATTCCGACTTCAATGCGCGAAGCCGTTGTGGAGCAAGAGATGTCTCGAGCGCACATGTTAAGTGTCGCAGCTGTCGTAAGAGGCGCAGTTCAGCAGCGCTTGGAAGACTCACCTCGATCTAGCGTGTCGCGACACCGAGGCCGGCGGCGAAGCCAACAAGCTTGCACTTGTAGGACAGCAGACGGCTGTGCCTGGACCATTGCCTGCTCAAGTTGAAGAGGCAGATGCTTTCGTTACAGACACTTGCATACAAATTGTGTAAACTGCTGGGATATGGGCATCTTGTTGGACGTTGCGTGTCGTTCCTTTCCGTTCGCGGAGCGCAGGCAACGGTGGAGATGTCGGTGCCTGACACGTTAGCAGAGGCCGGGGAAGTGCAGTCACGCAGTGCTCCGAGTTCACTTTCAAGTCTTCGTTGTGCGAAAGACTGATACGATCCGTGTGCGTGTGACCTTGTGCACGCTGGCAAGGCAAGCCGCAACGGGCCATCTGCGGCCAAAGAGACGTCGGCAGATGGTCTTGCGAGCCTGCAGCAGCAACACCAGCAGCAGGCGACAGCTGCAAGTTGTTCTTTCGGGCGAGTCCGTTAGCATGCTGCAACATCATGCTCTGCTAATTTCTTGTCTTGTCAATTGTCACAGCTGCTGGCATTTGCTGCAGGAATCCGTAGTGGAGCAACAGGTGTCTCGGGTGTACATGTGCAGCTGTTGTAGGTGGCGTGTCCGAAGATGCAGTGGTTGGGGGCTGGCAGTAGCAGGCAACAGTGCACGAATACCTGAAAGCCCCACTTCGGTCTAGCATTGCACGATCCGAGGCCAGCGGCGAAGCCGACAAGCCTACAGTTGCTGAGGCAGCTGTCGCCAGCCACGACCCGGTCTTGCCGGTGCCGGTGCCTGCTGAAGTTGAAGCAGCAGATGCTGTCGACACAGACACTCGGCTAAATCATTGCAGGATGGAGCATTTTGACGGGTAGTTTCTCGACCTGCCCCGCACGCAATTTCCAGCACCTTCTAACAAGACGAAGCAGGCAGCGGCTGAGATGCCGGCGCCTGACACATCAGCTGAGGCCGGGGAGGATTAAAAGGCACGCAGTGCTCCGGATTCACTTTCGGGCCTTGTAAGACGTTTGATTTCGTGGGCGTGTGACACATCGGCGTGCAGCTGAGCTAGTGCACGCCGCACAGGCCAGCAGCAGCGAGCCATCTGCGGCCAAAGATCCGCCGGCGGATGGTCTTGCGCAGCAGCAGGCGAGAGCAGCAAGTCGTTCTGTCGGGATCCGGGAAGCGATCGCGTAGATTTTGGATACGCTGCTCAATCGTTTAGCATGCTCCAGCAACTTTGTTTGTGTTTGTCCGGGCCGTTGTCACAGCTGCTGGCATTTCCGCCTTTCATGCAGGAATCCGTGGTGGAGCAACAGGTGTCTCAAGTGCACATGTGCAGACGCTGCAGGATGTAGCAGGCGTAGTGTCTATCGCTGCGGTGGCCGGGGACTGGCAGTAGCAAGCATTCGCGAGCCGAGGCCAGCGGCGACGCCGACAAGCCTGCACTTGCTGAGGCAGCTGTCGCCAGACACGACCCGGTCTTGCCGGTGCCGGTGCCTGCTGAAGTTGAAGCAGCAGATGCTGTTGACACAGACACTCGGCCAAATCATTGCAGGGTAGGAGCATTTTGACGGGTAGTTTCTCGACCTGCCCCTCACACAATCTTCCAGCACCTTCTAACAAGACGAAGCAGGCAGCGGCTGAGATGCCGGCGCCTGACACATCAGCTGAGGCCGGGGAGGATTAAAAGTCACGCAGTGCTCCGGATTCACTTTCGGGCCTTCTAAGACGTTTGATTTCGTGGGCGTGTGACACATCGGCGTGCAGCTGAGCTGGTGCACGCCGCACAGGCCAGCAGCAGCGAGCCATCTGCGGCCAAAGATCCGCCGGCGGATGGTCTTGCGCAGCAGCAGGCGAGAGCAGCAAGTCGTTCTGTCGGGGTCCGGGAAGCGCATCGATCGCTTGGATTTCGGATAGGCGTTGCAGTTTTTTCGCTTGCTTTACCATAATGCTCTGTTGAGTTTCTGGCAGCTGCGGGCATGATGGGGCATATTCCGACTTCAATGTGCGAAGCCATTGTGGAGCAAGAGATGTCTCGAGTCTCGAGCTCACATGTTAAGTGTCGCAGATGTGGTAAGAGGCGCAGTTCAGCAGCGCTTGAAAGACTCACCTCGATCTAGCGTGTCGCGACACCGAGGCCGGCGGCGAAGCCAACAAGCCTGCACTTGTAGGACAGCAGACGGCTGTGCCTGGACCATTGCCTGCTCAAGTTGAAGAGGCAGATGCTTTCGTTACAGACACTTGCATACAAATTGTGTAAACTGTTGGGATATGGGCATCTTGTTGGACGTTGCGTGTCGTTCCTTTCCGTTCGCGGAGCGCAGGCAACGGTGGAGATGTCGGTGCCTGACACGTTAGCAGAGGCCGGGGAAGTGCAGTCACGCAGTGCTCCGAGTTCACTTTCAAGTCTTCGTTGTGCGAAAGACTGATACGATCGGTGTGCGTTTGACCGTGTGCACGCTGGCAAGGCAAGCCGCAACGGGCCATCTGCGGCCAAAGAGACGTCGGCAGATGGTCTTGCGAGCCTGCAGCAGCAACACCAGCAGCAGGCGACAGCTGCAAGTTGTTCTTTCGGGCGAGTCCGTTAGCATGCTGCAACATCATGCTCTGCTAATTTCTTGTCTTGTCAATTGTCACAGCTGCTGGCATTTGCTGCAGGAATCCGTGGTGGAGCAACAGGTGTCTCGGGTGTACATGTGCAGCTGTTGTAGGTGGCGTGTCCGAAGATCCAGTGGTTGGGGACTGGCAGTAGCAGGCAACAGTGCACGAATACCTGAAAGCCCCACTTCGGTCTAGCATTGCACGATCCGAGGCCAGCGGCGAAGCCGACAAGCCTACAGTTGCTGAGGCAGCTGTCGCCAGCCACGACCCGGTCTTGCCGGTGCCGGTCCCTGCTGAAGTTGAAGCAGCAGATGCTGTCGACACAGACACTCGGCTAAATCATTGCAGGGTAGGAGCATTTGACGGGTAGTTTCTCGACCTGCCCCGCGCGCAATTTCCAGCACCTTCTAACAAGACGAAGCAGGCAGCGGCTGAGATGCCGGCGCCTGACACATCAGCTGAGGCCGGGGAGGATTAAAAGGCACGCAGTGCTCCGGATTCACTTTCGGGCCTTCTAAGACGTTTGATTTCGTGGGCGTGTGACACATCGGCGTGCAGCTGAGCTGGTGCACGCCGCACAGGCCAGCAGCAGCGAGCCATCTGCCACCAAAGATCCGCCGGCGGATGGTCTTGCGCAGCAGCAGGCGAGAGCAGCAAGTCGTTCTGTCGGGATCCGGGAAGCGATCGCGTAGATTTTGGATACGCTGCTCAATCGTTTAGCATGCTCCAGCATCTTTGTTTGTGTTTGTCCGGGCCGTTGTCATAGCTGCTGGCATTTCCGCCTTTCATGCAGGAATCCGTGGTGGAGCAACAGGTGTCTCAAGTGCACATGTGCAGACGTTGCAAGATGTAGCAGGCGTAGTGTTTAACGCTGTGGTGGCCGAGGACTGGCAGTAGCAAGCATTCGCGAGCCGAGGCCAGCGGCGACGCCGACAAGCCTGCACTTGCTGAGGCAGCTGTCGCCAGACACGACCCGGTCTTGCCGGTGCCGGTGCCTGCTGAAGTTGAAGCAGCAGATGCTGTCGACACAGACACTCGGCTAAATCATTGCAGGGTAGGAGCATTTTGACGGGTAGTTTCTCGACCTGCCCCTCACACAATTGTCCAGCACCTTCCAGCAAGACGAAGCAGGCAGCGGCTGAGATGCCGGCGCCTGACACATCAGCTGAGGCCGGGGAGGATTAAAAGTCACGCAGTGCTCCGGATTCACTTTCGGGCCTTCTAAGACGTTTGATTTCGTGGGCGTGTGGCACATCGGCGTGCAGCTGAGCTGGTCGCCGCACAGGCCAGCAGCAGCGAGCCATCTGCGGCCAAAGATCCGCCGGCGGATGGTCTTGCGCAGCAGCAGGCGAGAGCAGCAAGTCGTTCTGTCGGGATCCGGGAAGCGCAGCGATCGCTTGGATTTCGGATAGGCGTTGCGTGCTTTACCATCATGCTTTGTTGGGTTTCTGTCAGCTGCGGGCATGATGGGGCATGTTCCGACTTCAATGCGCGAAGCCGTTGTGGAGCAAGAGATGTCTCGAGCGCACATGTTAAGTGTCGCAGCTGTCGTAAGAGGCGCAGTTCAGCAGCGCTTGAAAGACTCACCTCGATCTAGCGTGTCGCGACACCGAGGCCGGCGGCGAAGCCAACAAGCCTGCACTTGTAGGACAGCAGACGGCTGTGCCTGGACCATTGCCTGCTCAAGTTGAAGAGGCAGATGCTTTCGTTACAGACACTTGCATACAAATTGTGTAAACTGTTGGGATATGGGCATCTTGTTGGACGTTGCGTGTCGTTCCTTTCCGTTCGCGGAGCGCAGGCAACGGTGGAGATGTCGGTGCCTGACACGTTAGCAGAGGCCGGGGAAGTGCAGTCACGCAGTGCTCCGAGTTCACTTTCAAGTCTTCGTTGTGCGAAAGACTGATACGATCGGTGTGCGTTTGACCGTGTGCACGCTGGCAAGGCAAGCCGCAACGGGCCATCTGCGGCCAAAGAGACGTCGGCAGATGGTCTTGCGAGCCTGCAGCAGCAACACCAGCAGCAGGCGACAGCTGCAAGTTGTTCTTTCGGGCGAGTCCGTTAGCATGCTGCAACATCATGCTCTGCTAATTTCTTGTCTTGTCAATTGTCACAGCTGCTGGCATTTGCTGCAGGAATCCGTGGTGGAGCAACAGGTGTCTCGGGTGTACATGTGCAGCTGTTGTAGGTGGCGTGTCCGAAGATGCAGTGGTTGGGGGCTGGCAGTAGCAGGCAACAGTGCACGAATACCTGAAAGCCCCACTTCGGTCTAGCATTGCACGATCCGAGGCCAGCGGCGAAGCCGACAAGCCTACAGTTGCTGAGGCAGCTGTCGCCAGCCACGACCCGGTCTTGCCGGTGCCGGTCCCTGCTGAAGTTGAATCAGCAGATGCTGTCGACATAGACACTCGGCTAAATCATTGCAGGGTAGGCGCATTTTGACGGGTAGCTTCTCGACCTGCCCCGCGCATCATTTTCCAGCGCCTTCTAACCAGACGTTCGACTCAGGCAACGGCTGAGATGCCGGCGCCTGACACATCAGCTGAGGCCGGGGAGTATTTTTTTGGAGCAGTGCCCCGGATTCAGCTTCGGGTCTTCTAAGACGTTTGGTTTGGTGGGTGTGCAATGGCGTGCACACATCGGTGTGCAGCTGACCTGGTGCACGCCACACAGGCCAGCAGCAGCGAGCCATCTGCGGCCAAAGAGACGCCTGCGGATGGTCCTGCCAGCCTTCAGCAGCAACAGGCTCAAGACCGGCGAGCAGATTTCAGTCCAGACAGGTTTTGGAGTCTTGTCTTGTCGCACGGCATGATGCAAGATGTCCTATCCGAAGATGCAGGATCTGGCAAAGCTTCGCGAAGTTGCAGCAAGCTACTTCGCTGTAGATTCCAGCATAGGCTTTCAGATGTGTAGCTCAAGGGCCCTGGCAAGCTCGAGCAGATTCGCACATGTGGGTCCAAGCGATCGTTTTCGAAGCTCAGGTCTCCAAGCAGCCCTTTTTCGCAATTCTTACAGGATATCTAGAGCGTCATAGATCGCCAACAAGCCCCGAGAGCACACGAACGTCCATGTGTGTAAGCATGTTGTGTTATAAACGAACACGTTGCACATACTTGCATATTCACCCATGTTTGCGTGATCTGCCAGCTCGTCAGGAGATGGAAGGCTCGAAAACGGAAGCGATCGCTGAATCCCTGAGCAATGGCCAGCTGCTTCACAGCAAAACAGACCCGTGGAACCTAAGCTCTCACAAGGAGGTTTAGCTCAGACGTCCCACCGACGCCTAAATGTGATGTAATTGAAAAGGAAGTTTTGCGCGTGTTGAAATCGGAACACGGAGCATTGCGTACTCTAACAATCCGCAGAAAAACGTAAACCAAAACGACTATTTGGGCTGGTTCGGCTTATCATTCGAGCAGGACCTTCGTGCCTGCTCCGGCAAAGCCTCAACCGATTCATGTCGCATCCTGCAGCGACGGGTTCTCGGTTTATTCCAGAAGGTTCGAGAGCTTGAGAACCTTTGTGAGAGCAACCCCTGTAGTATAATCGTAGTATCATGGTCCCCAAAACCCTTTTCTAACTATTAAGGCCCCTATATCTAAAGAACCCCACTATGAGCTGTGCTCGGAACCAGGAGGGCTTGGCGAACTCCAGGTTTTTGCGGGCCAGTTTTCAGCCACATCCAAGCCTAAGCACCCGAAACTTCAAAAAGAATGACTGCCCTCCTTCAGCCCGGAGCCTGAACATCTAAAAGGTCTTCTGTTGCTACGGCTCTGGCAACACTGTATGTGAGTTAGGGTTCGGCTTTCTCGTCTGATTTCGGCAGGGTCTTGTGGAGAAGCTTCCACTTCGCAACATCCGAGCTTTTGGCCTTGAGCTTCAGGGGCCCTGAAGAAGAAGATTGAGAGGTTTACCAAAATCGGGCCTCCGAATCTGACGGCGTTTCAGAAAGCAGTTGCCGCTCGACGTTTTCAAGGCCGCAAAAACTGGACCCTGCACGGCTCAAGCTGAAGGTGCCGCGGCTCCAGTCCTAGAGAATAGTTACTGGGTTTAGGGTTTAGTACTTGAAGGTTTATTCAGATGTGAAGAGTCGTCCATAAGGCTGTCACAAGATCACGGGGCCTGGGGTTGGTGGCACAGTGGCTTCGCCTTCAGATCTGTACCGGTTCGAGCTGGGGGTGAGCAGACGTTCGCACGACTTCTGAGTCATCTGATACGAGTCTCAACTGGTTTTCTCGGCAGCCTGCACGCACGAAGGTGCAATTCAGAAGCAACAGAACTGGTTGCCAGCTGAACGTAAGTGCGGTCCATTAAAAGCTACGCAGGCATGTAGGTCGTAGTAAGCTGTAAGCTGAATAAGATGCGATCCGATTCCGATGAGCGTCGTTGTCTCAAGCCCGGAGGTTCTGTAGTCCTATACACTCTGAGCACTGCTGTGCAACCACACAGCATTGCTTGTAGAACACAAGCCGACATCCTCAATATGTTCATTTCAGCGAGTTCTGTGGGCCCGAGGAAAGTCGTTCGGGATCGAAGGGACCCCCGGCTTCTGCGGATTTGAAGCAAAAATAAGACATCCTGGAGCCAGGCCTGAGCCCAAACCACGTCCGTTTCAGGAAGGGGATCCGTACCTCAGCCCGCACGCACGAGCCCTGGTGAACGACGAGGATCGGAGCACTTGACAGCGGTTTGAGATGCAGCGACAGCTCGAACTTCGGAATTTGCAAGATTGTATATTTATCCCTCCATCTATCGGTCTATCTGTCTAATCCAACTTGCCTTTAGCTTTTAGCTTAGCTGAATCTCGATCTTGACCTGAGAACCTAATCTACCCAGCTCCCCACGTTTTTGGCCTCTGTTCTCCGTACTGTATTGCAAGGTGCTCGAATGTACAATGCATGCATGCATGTACGTGCACATGGATGTTTGTGCATACATATTTATGTATGTATGCTTGTCTAATTCTATCTATAGATGATATATGTACACAGCAGTGTGTACAAATGCCTTCATGTTGGTATGAATGTCTCCGTGCACGTATGTACATCGATGTGTATGCCTGCATGCAGGCATGTGTGCATGTATGTACCAGTCGTGCGTATCCTTCCATATCCCTCCTTTTTAGAACTGTTCATCGATGTCTTGTGTTCGAAGCACACTTCGAACTATTCCCACTGGTCCCATGTCTGCCCGTTAAGATTCCAACTGAGGCCAAAGGCTGGCAGCCTTTTTCCTGTTTCCGCCCAGCACAAGCATGTTGGTTGTGAGTAGAGGGGTGCTTGTATCATTTTTCGACCACTGCCGTCCAGGAGGGTGCCACCTTCCTCAACAGCGCGGAAGGACCCCGGCCCTGAAGCACATGTTACAGAAGCCCAGTTGACAGGAACATGCTGTGTGGTGAATAGGACGAAAGCCAACGCAGGGCACACAACGATAAATAATGATCGTTCACTAAGCCTGCTACACTGCAGTTTTCCGTTTGGGGCTGTGCACTGAATGAACCCGTGGCGAGTTGCGAAACAAGGGTATTGAAAGACCCAGGAATTGCAGTTGGTTTCGGCCATATGTAGCCAACCCCCATGCTGACCGACATTCCAAGATGCAGGACTCAAGATTCGAAGTGTTTCGGTTTTCGGGTGTTGGTCCCGGGTTTGGCATAAGACATGGTACTCGCGTTTTCTTTGTGGGAAGTGCAACCAGCTCTTTGGCAAAGTGCGTTTCCCAGCCTCGAAACCTTGAGCCAGGAGGTAACATGAGGTTCAGGAGGTGGGGCTTCTAACTTCGCCTGGTTGTGCCGAGAGTGAGTGGCAGAAAATGCACCGCACCCCCCTGTGCAGAAGTTCGGTCGCCGCAACGGGAAAGCTACCAGGAAGCGGATGGAATAGCAGATTGAGGGTGAATTAGAAGATTTTCTGCGGGTGTTGAGAAAGCCGAAGCCACGACATCCTCCGACCCCATGCTTCAACTCCGCAGCAGTTTAAACTTCCCTTGAACCTCCATGCGCCGAGCTTCCTCCTTGAGACCTCTGCCAGTCTGCACTTTGTCTTGAAACATCTTGAAACGAAAGTCTGTCAACCTGGCTTAAGTTCAAGGCAACAACTTGCACGTTGTGTTTACATTGTTACATGCAGCCACAGAGCAAAACCATGCAAAACCAACAATCGAACCAACAAAGATGCACACGGAAGCAGGACATTCAAAACTCGAAACCAAAACTCAGATCAATATGAAACGGTCACTGATACTGTTACTTTCCAACGTATGACCGGCCAAGGTTCTTGTAACCACAATCGGCAATCGTTTGAAGACGATGCGCTTAATGGCGACATCCTGCTTCGTTGGGTTATCAGTTGGACTAGTTGCTTGTGGAGATCTCCTTTCCAAACTTGACGACAGGAGACCAGGTTGACCGGAAATGATACCATTCCTGCAACGACCATCTCGAACTCAACAGCCTTGCCCACCTCGCGAAAACTGAGCGTCAACAAGCCTAAACTCTGAAAGCCCCACAGTCCTGGCACCCACTCTTGGCACACACGCCAAACGCCAACAGCATCATGCTTTGCATGGCCAAACTCAAAAATAGCTCTCCTCCAGTCGACTGAGGAACCTCGCGTGGCATGTCCGAGAGTGAACACCGAAACCCCCCTAAACCCAAGATACTGGAGATCCGTAACCCCCCAATCAAAACCTAAACTACTTGCAATAGAAATCCGACGCCTGTGGTGCTTCACCGCAAGGTTCCGCGCGCAGCCTGCAGCCCCCGAGCGCTGGCTTCGCTCGGGTGGGGACTTTGGAAGTGACTGGGCCCTGCCAGGCTTTGAGATTAGGGTTGTTTGCCTGAGGTTGGGATTTAGGGATTAGGGCTTTAAGGGCTCAATCAGGTCTAGGTCGAATAGTTGGAGAAAGATTTTGGGATATACTTGACCAATGTTATATATAACTTGACTATTGACAATTTGCGGTTAGGATGTAGGGCTTATGGATAGGATGTCTCGAAGGTTTCGGATGACGCTCACCAAATCAAAGCCAAGGCAATTGCGTTTTCAGAAGGAGGAAAGCTGCCAATCTTGAGTTGACACCACTGCATTACTTCGCATCATCTACACTTGGGAAACAGTGGCAAGGTCCGGTTGAGCCAGCTTCCTGACAAGAAGGCCGTGGGTGCTGCCATGGACGAGGCGGTTGCAACATGGCTGAGCCGCGTCAAGTTAGGACAAGGTACATGGTTTGACTTTTGGCCGGCCGGTGCTTGTGAAGCGCTGTTGTTGCTGCTATCGGTAGGATTGCGAGTGCTATCATGACTAAGTTAAGTTTACTGTCTTCCGATGATTAGTACTGTAGCCACTACTACTACGCCTACTACTACTACTACTACTACTACCACTACTACTACCACTACTACTACTACTACTACTACTACTACTACTACTACTACTACTGCTACTGCTACTGCTACTGCTACTACTACTACTACTACTGCTACTACTACTACTGCTGCTACTACTGACTACTACTGGCTACTACTAACTGGTACTAACTACTACTACTACTACTACTACTACTACTACTACTACTACTACTACTCCTCCTACTACTACTACCACTACTACTACTACGACGACTACGACTACGACTACGACTACTACTAACTGCCACGAACTGCGACTACCTACGACTAACTACTAACTACTAACTACTACTACTACTACTACCACTACTACTACTACTACTGCTGCTGTTGCTAGTTCTAGTTATTTTGCTACTTGTCATACTATTGCCATTGCCAGGACTTGTACCATGACCATCAAATACAGTTGCTGTTGCTTTTGCTGTCGTAACTGTTACTGTCCATGCTGAATTCCTCAGTATCACTCGTTCATTGCTTCTTAAGTGCCTACAACAAATCAGTAACAGTATTTCTGTCATTATTACGACAACTGTTGCCTCAATCTGGACTCGTGCCGTGGTCGATTCACCGGCCATTTGCGCACCCAGGCACATCTGGAGGCCTACTACAAAGTCTCTGTGGCTCAGCAGCAGGCCGAATTCCGCAGCCTTCACCCCCGACGCTTCAGAGAGATGACCGCTGCCATGATACTGATTGTGTTGATGGTGGTGACGGTGCATAACGGCATAGCAACCAGGCAAATGTGATGATAAGATTCACTGGGCTGATCAAAATTGGCCAAAACGCTTGCATGCACAGTGTGCAGAGCGCTACAACCCTAAGCTCCTGACGTCCGAGATACGCAAACCCGAAGCATGCCTAGGAACAGACAGCAGTTCGTCTCTACTTGGGCTGCAACCTCGACATGGAGGAGGGGATCCCGTTGATGGGGAGACCGCCTTTCATATGCTGTTTGTGACCTGGAATGGAAAAACTTCACAAACAGGTCCTCTGCCGTGGTCCAGCCACCTTGAACCGCTGCGACGGCCAGGGTGCGCACGCTATATGCTTTGTGACTGGGGCGAGGTTCCCATGACAGCCCGTAATCTGGCTTCCACTCAACAATGTGAAATAGTCTGCTCAATAACAAACCCCAATCTAGTGAATCTTGTCGTTGAGTAAAGTTTGGAACGTATCCTCTCGTTGGACAAACTGGGTAGCGAATCCTCTAAGAATGGAATTTCGGTACAGTACTGCCGGAGGAAGCCAAGCGACGTTTCGACGGCATCCTGGAGTGGCGAAAGCAGTATGGTGCCTCGGTATGGCGTGTTTGTGTAGCGATGAGTTGACCTTCGCATGGTTTAAGGCTCAACCACGCGTGCACATGGGCGTTTCAGAAAATAGGGGACCCTAATATAGTACCCTAAATAGTAGGATCCTTGTCATGAGGACCCCAAAATAAGGTACCCCCTATTTTCGGAAACCCCCAGATTGGTCCAGCGGCTTCAGCGCCTCGGATCATCTCGGCGTCCAAGCACTGCGTAGATGAGTGTAGGCGCTGAGACTGTTTATCTGAGAAGTTCGACCGAAACTCCCCCAAAATCCGAATGCAAACAGCGTTGATTGAAGCCCAGGCCCTAAACCGTCCAGACTTTAAGGATAGGAGTCTCTTCTGCTTTGACGGTTCGTAAATCTGATTCTGCACGGTACGTGGCAGAAGATGCTACATACGGCTCAGGCCTGATACCACTGGGGCTTACGGGTGTTGCACGACGATGCTTTTGCGGATTTTTCTGGTGTGGAGCGAAATCATGAACAACACCAGTTCAAACCTTGAACCAGATTCCTGGTGCCCTGAAGCCCCAACCGCACGACCCTAAGCCTAAACCTCTCAAAGGCGTGGATCAGATGCGCCAGGGCCTGCTATCGGCGCTGCATGCAGACGAGCCCGTGATGGTGCCGTTCCACAAGGAGGCCCAGATGGAGACATGGGGCTGAACTTGGCTCAGGGGGGTTAGAGGCGTTGGGTTAGGATGCGAGGCCCAGATTTGGGACCTGGAGTGCGGGCGTAGGATTCGGATCCTCGATGCTGGGCGCAAGAGATTTCAAAAGGAAGAGCTTTTTGGTTGAAGCATCTCAGAGCTTCAAGCTTGCAAACTGAAGCATCGCGACAGCCTGCGCCTTCGAAAGAAAGGCCAAGAAGCCCTCACATCACATCATACCCTATAAATACTAGGATCCTTATTATAAGGACCACAAAATACAGCACCCCTAATTTTCGGAAGCTCCCGCATCGCGAAGCTTTCAGTAAGACTCACGAGGTCGCCAAGCTCGTGACCATCAACCCATGCGCGCTCACCAGCGCAGAGGGTTCCCCTGCTGCTCGATCCAAACTGGCTTCCCCAGAGACTCCAGGGATCCCTTAACTAAGGAATATACCTTAAGTTATTGTAGCATCCCTAATATAACTTAAGGTATAATATTCCTGAGTTAAGGGATATTGGAGCCTCTGGGTCTCTCTGTGGAACCTGGCCTAGTTTGGTGGATTTTGGTGGTACCTTGTTTTAGACAAGACTACAACAAAGTAGCTTCCGAAGCTTCACTTTTTTCGTTGGGCTCCATGAGGGCTCGGGATCAGTTTGCGATTGCTTGAGGTTGGCACAACGAGGCCAAAACCAGGATGCGCATGCTCCGGTACTCTCTGTTTTCTAGTCTGCAAATGCTGCTGCCAGCTGCAGCTTGTCTGGTTGCCTGGGATTTCCCATGCTGTCCTGAAGCATGTGTGGGAACATGTCTGCTACAGTTTTGCACTCGGTATTGTCGAATCGTGATTCAAGAGTTGAGCCTGTTTGCGGATGTTTGTGCTGCCTGGCTTTGTATGTTGTTTTGCTGGGGGGAGATGTCTTCTCGAAAGTCGTTCTGCAGAGAGTTGTTGTCGAAAGTTGATCCGTTTCGCGGTGCGTTGCTTTGCAGGGTTGTCTTGTCGACAGTCGGGACACATGGCGGTATAGCCCCCTTTCGCGCTGCATTGCTGCTGCTGGAGCGTTGTCGACGTCGTGTTTCATGGGGTGTTCCCAGAGACTCCAATATCCCTTTATTAAGGAATACACCTTAAATCATATCAGGGATCCTACTACAATTTAAGGTATATTCCTTAATTAAGGGATATTGGCGTCTCTGCGTTAATCCTCATGGTGCTGCTTTGCTCTGGCGTGCAGGTTTGAACCCCTTTTGCGCTGCAGGGCTTCTGGTGGAGCAGTGTGGACCGTCGTGATGCACATAGCTTTGACATTCGGGTGTCGGTCTGAAAGTCCTGATTCATGCAGGGTTGACCCCTTTCGTGCTGCGGTGCTCTTGGGGATGAGGTGTTGTCAAACACCCTCACACAGCTTTCCTCGGTCGCTTTTTTGCTGCCGGGCACCAGCCACGCAGCGTCGCACACAGACAGGTGTGTATGTCTGCGTACATAGAACATGAGTATTATGTGTATATATATATATATATATATATATATTTATTTATTTATTTATTTGTTTATTTATTTATTTATCTATAATTATGTATTTATTTATAACATATAGATAGATATACTGTATAAGTAGACGCAGAGAATCCCTCGTCTTTAGGCTAAAGGCGTCTCAGGTGAGCATCTACCACGTGGGCACCGCCCACTCCTCGGCGGCTCCCAAGGCCGACGAGGATCAGCTCCGGAGGCTCACCCGGGTCGCGGTTCAAAGGGTGGGGCTTTAGGGTTTTAGGGGTTACTTGTAGGGTGTTCAAGGGGTTTAGGGGTTTAGGGTTTAGGGCCTAGGGTTTTGAGGGGTTTGGTGGAGAGGGTTTTCGGGGTTTCGGGTAGGTTTAGGGTTTACTTGGAGGCACTTCAGAGAGACCTCGTTCCAAAAGGGATGTTGGAGTTCGGGAGTTTGATTGGTGGCTTCAAGAACTTGAGGGTTTGGGGCTGTAGGACTGTAGGGTTTAAGGTTGTAGAAACAGTAAGTAAAAATGTGGTGGGACATGTCAGACAGGATCTCAACAAAGTGTTGCGATTGGGAGTGAAGCATGAGATGCAATGTTTGCTCACCCGTCAACTGAATTGATGGCGACTAAGGCCACAGAACCTGCCTGTGGCTATGATTCACTGGTGCATGAGTGAATTGTGATTTACTGGGATGGCTTGGTGCATCGGGGGGTTCCGGCCCTGAGTAGCGGTTGATTAGGTTTTCTGCCGTTTGCAAGGCCCGATCTGCAGTGCTGCATTATGGTGATGCAACCCTATACCGTGCTCACAGTGCAGACCCAAGTCCTTCGTTTGGAATATCCCCAACACATCGCGCGTAACTCGGCAGGTTCGGCGTCTTCGTGGCAGAGTATGTGGACGTTTGGCTATCTGCTCAAACTACGACCACTGGCAAGTTAGCTGGCCATGTGCAGATCTACGATCTGCAGGGCTTGAGCCTTTGGCCACTGGGCGAGTTAGGGCGGCATCGCCTAGTCATGCACTTCAGGGTTTCGGCTTGACTGTTCCATCTTGAAGACATCACTCATCATGATCTTAGAAATACAGAAAGCAACATCATACGGGCCCGTGTTTTGCACATTGCCAGAAAGTACACCAGAAAGCTACTTGAAAGGCGAAAAGATGCGGGTTGAATAGGAACTCCGAGCGAGGCAGGTCTCCAGCGGCGCCTTGGTGGAGAAGCTGAAGATCCTGCTTGGGGCTGGTCAGCCCTCTGGCCGAAGGACTTGAGCCGAAGAGGAGAGGGTGGAAGATCGGGTAGGAAAGCACCTGCGAGCTACAAAGTCTGTCTGTGCAGGCATGTAGCCTGCCTCCGGGAGCAAGCACTTCGACATATGTTCAAACATGTCCGTGTGGTTTTGAACTCGTATCCGCTGTCATGCAGTGGCATGAAGACCTAGTCTCGGACTGGATTGCGGATCGTCAACACTTGTGGCCGAGGCACTATATGGAGCAGGCACAGCCGGGCAAAGAGTGCATTTGAGTGAACGAGTCTGGTCTACTGAATGATATTGCTCGTCTAGCAGTTGCAAAATACGAGATTGCTGCAGCAAGAATCACCGTCCTCGTCTCTTCGATATTGTGCCGTTTAGCTCAGGCCAAAGATCATCTCCCAAAAACTGGCACGACGGTGTACCAAGCCGTTCGGAGAGAGAGAGAGAGAGAGAGAAAGAGAGAGACTAGTGCAAAGAGAGGGTCGGTTTCCTCGCCAGCCGTACTTCACCAACCGCACCGACCGCCAGTACATAATCTCCCGACCGCTGAAAACCCAAAGCCTCTTCCACCGCCAAAACGGGGTTCGCGCGCGAACCCATCCCCTGTGAAGTGAAGTGAAGAGACGGGGAAGCGAAAAATCATGAGCAGGGATGCACGGGGCTTGGGACACCAAGCCCCGACGTCGTGCAAGCAAGCAATCAAGACAAAAAAGAGCTAGTTAGCTGGAATCCAGTAGCCCTAAAACCGGACCTAAACCCCACGGTATTCAGGTAGCCAGGAGAGTTGGCGCAGCAGAACCTTCGCAGACGCCGCGAGGTGTCCCAGATCTTTGTGATTCGCTCCTCTTCCGCCTTCTCCATGGCTTGGAACTTCATCAAGGTTGGCTGCCGGGATTTCGGGTTTAGGGGGGCTTCGAGTGCCTGTGTGAGAGAGAGAGAGAGACAGAGAGAAGAGAGAGAGAGAGAGAAGAGAGAGAGAGAGGGTTTAGGGGTGATGGCCAGCTTCTTACCTTTGGGTAGTCATAGTAGTTATAATTGTATCCCATTCCTCCATTCCCTACAAACCAAAGGTAAGGCTTAAATGGGAGTAGCTCGTGCTGTCGGAGAGAATCACCCATCACAGTTAGAAACGTGGAGGGATTGCAGATTACTCCTGCCCAGCGGGGCCCCACGGTGTCCCGTGCAGGGATGGATCTCGCCGCGCACGGCATCCAAAATCCATGCCCCTTGTTTGCAGGTTCCTTCATGGGCTCCTTGACGCGATTTGCAGGTGTTTTACAGCTTCAGAGTGTCACAGATCTTCTTGATCTCAGGAAGCCCAAAACCACCAAGGCTTCCCTAACCCGGAACTCCTAAACCCACAAGCCAAGACGCAGACATATATCATACAGAATCTTCAAGAAGCCTTGATAGTTGCTGTAGAGCTTCCCTGAGATCCTTCTCCGAGGTGTCGAGCAGCATACCGTCTGAGCTTCAGAAGCTGTGCCTGGCTCAGCGAGCCACCAGTGACTCTCAGAGTGAACTGCAATGCAACCCTGAAGCCTTGAACCCTTTCATCTCGCCTTGGGGGTCCGATCCTGCAACCCACCCAAACGTAAACACCCAAACCCCAAGCCTCTTCAGCCGAAAACCTGTGTGAAGCCGTTCCAGCTTGCCCACAGGTTGGGGCCTAGTGCTGCCGCCCTGCCGGCGCTGCTGAAGAACCCGCAGTGGAGCCCGGGGGACGCCTTAGCACAGGGGCCGTGCACATGTTGTATTATGCATATACATGTCGATATTCTATATTATACATGTATGTATGCATGTATGTATGTACACTGACGCGACAGATGGAGTCAGCCAACCTCTGAACCCTCGCCTGCTTGTTGATTGCGAGTGCTAAAAGATGTGCGCGCAGGTGGAGAGGCAGAGAGGAGCGACGGAGAGAGAGAGAGAGAGAGAGAGAGAGAGAGAGAAGAGGGGAAGAGCGAGGGCCGTGGAGCGATCTAAAACCCTCCTGAACTTCATGCAGGAGCTTCACGCTTAACTTGACGCTTAAGCGCCTGCTTGACTTGCCCCAACTCCGGTTCTTTCAGCTCTTTGTTCGACACAGGGGTTCACCAAATGGAGAGCGAGATATGGTTGTAATGCATGGGCACTTTTGCATGAACGGCCCTGCGGAAAGCGAGAGAGAAGGGCACCATGAGGCAAGCACAATCCGCTGGGGTATTAGATCGGACGGAAGGACAGCAGCTGTGCAGCGACCGCCATTCAGTCCTGAGGAGTAGCTGAGGACAAGTCACCTTCCACTCAGGGGCTGAGCTGCGAGTTCTTATAGGATTGAAGTATTTTTGAGCTTCCGAGCTTTTGCGGCGATCTGGAGGTGGAGGCGTAGAACTTGGGAGGCTTTTCTCCGCCCTGCACCAGTCAGAGCAGATCTCACCCCATGAGACGCCTTCACAAAAAACCTGAACTGTGCTTAGTCGGAGGAGTGTCGACCTTCAGAAGCCGTGTCTGTGTTTGTGGGCCAGTGGCAGTTAGTCGCAAGCAAGCAGGACTTGCGCATTTCGTCTGCATGACTGTAGGCATTCAGAGTTTCTGTGACCGTTCCTGCACGGAGTCAGAGCGCAGAATAGCTCATTATCTTTTACCGCCGTGATCGAAGCGTTTGTGCATGCCTTGTTGGCTCAAGGCACTCCTTGTTTACCCAGTCCAGAGACAGCTTGCCAAATTTCGGGGAGGCGTTCTCGAGGCAAGGCAATTCATGTCCGTCTTCATGTATTGGTTGCCAGATGATGCCAGATCTGTCCATGTGCAAGTGTCATTGGTCACTAAATTGTGTGGTATTGGATGGGCACACGTGAGGAAGCATCGACTTAACCCGGAATAGAACCGCTGGCTGCAAATGAAGAGCTTACGAGTCGTCGTGCCAAAGGTCGATTAGGTTAGGGTGATCGCTGTGCTAGATTCAAGTTCTTGGCTCTTGATGACAACTTCTCGCCATTTTCCATCACGAAGTCAATCAGTCCGATGGTCTCAACTTCGGTCTTGTTCAAGTTGTTCGCGAGGAAGGTCTTCTTGAGCTCGTCGAAAAGAAGACGACGAAGCGTGCGGTAAGTTGTACTTGAATTCACCTCAATCTTGTAGGGCTTCTTCAAAACATCTGTCCAAATGTTAAAGATGTTGAAGTCATAATCCTCCTTCTGCACCCTCACGGACCTCAAAGCATCCCTGATGGCCGTGTGATACTGCTGGACAAGAAATTTGTTGAGGATCGTGTTCATCATATCGTGGTTGTTCTGGTCGTCCTTGAGCTTTTCCTTTATTGTAGCCAGCTCTGACAAAGACTTCTCAACATCTTCCTCGTTCTCACCATCATGCGCTTCCTCATCGGACGACCAACTGCCTTCAAAGGCTAACTGTTCCTCTTCTAGGTCTTTTGGCAAAGCTGTGTCAAGCTCAATCTGAACTTGAGGCGTCATTGCTTTCGTAAAAGCAAAAGCTTTCTCAAAGAAAAGCTCTGGATACGAACACAAGTTCGCTCAAGCTTGAAAGTTGCAACTGCTTCAACAAACAGACATGAAAAGCAAGCACCAGCTAGCACTGAAACAAGCGAGCAGAAGCGCACCATCCAAAACTAAAGATGGTTTTGAAGTCGTCCGAGTTATACAAGTCACTGCCTAAGACCTAAGCCTAAACCACCACAACCACCCAACACGACAAAACAAAAAGAAAAGAAAGAGGCGAGGAACGACAAACACGAAACGCAACAGGTGGTGAAGGAGGGGTAAAACGAAAGAGGCGAGGAAGGTCATTTATGACTTAGGTTTCTCAAAATCCAATTAGAAATTGAACGAGACACTTAAACCCTACACACAGGAAAATTCATACATTTCTGAAGATTTTCTGAGAATTTTGAGGTAAAACCGAACAGGCACCAATAAAGAGGCAAATAGGAAGCTTGTTGACAAACACGGAAAACGAAAAATACCTACTTAAAGCAAAAAGAACCCTAGGGATAAACGGATGAAACGGACAAATACTAACGATTAAAACGGCAACGGATGAGACGACGAAATAGGCTAAGGACACTTTCAAAATGAAGAAGGCGAGGATGGAAAAACAGAACGAAAGAGGTAAGGAAGGGGGAAGAACATGAAAGAGATGACGATACAAATGAAAAGCGAAGAAGGCGACCAAAATGAACGGGAGAGAGGGGTAAAAATCGGTGAATTCTGGCTTTTCAGGGGATGTCAAAAACGAAAGAGGGGAGGATGAAGACAAGGAAAAGGAAGAAGAAGGACAGAAGAGGGGGAGGAAGAATTTAGAATATGAAAATTAAGACACGAATAAGGGGGCGGGTCGGTCGGCCGGGGTGTCCCAGGACCTACCTGTTGGCTTTTTTTTTGTGGGGGAGGGGGGGGCGGACCATATTATATAGATAGATACATACATGTATGTATGTATATAATTCATCACTGCACACGGAACGGAAACTTGTTTTTTGGGCACAATGTCCTTTGATGCGCACGCACGAAATGCAGCAATTGAGCCGAACGCCTTGAGCCACCACCCCCTCGAAGAGGAAAAAACGAATTCAACATGAATTTGCACACACGCACACAGAGAGCACTCAGCAGTTTAAGTAGGGGTTCAGGAGTTTCGGGATTAAGGGCTTAAGGGCTTGCAGGTAGACAGATTTTCGTGAGGTTGTGGGGTGGTGGGGGGGTCTCGCACTGCACAACCCCTGGCGACGTGGGCTTAAGCGGCTGTCAGAGCGAAAGATTAAAGGCTTCGGGATTTGAGGGTGCCGGTTGGTTGGAGGTTCGAAATGTGGTGGAAAGTTGAGGAGTTCAAAGTGGTTTGCACGTTCGGGCCAAGGGTTTAACTGGGATAAGGAGCTTAGGGGCTGAAGGTTTGCGAGTCGAGGTCTGAATTCAGGGTGGAGTTGTTCAACAAGTTTTCATGTGAGTTTTACCACTTGTTGTATTTAGTGGGTGTACGGAAAATGTTGTTGTGATGCATGCCCGAAAGGACTGCGGGACTGTGTGCGCGGAAGTTTGAGGTAGGATGGCCGCGCGGAAGCTCCACGATGGCACCTGCATAGTTATTTTTTTTGTAGATTACTTAGAACAACTGAGGAACTGCGAGGCTGAGGCAAACGAGCAAGGGCTTGGGGGCAGATCGGCAGGTATCGGTTTGTCGCTTCAGGCTTCGGACATTTTGAAAACAGATGAACTGTTCAAACCCTAAGCCGAAATCAAAGCCGTTAGTCCTAAATGCTGACCTTGAAACCGAGTTCAAAGCTGCAGTATAAGTTTCATGCGCGAGGGGTCTGCCCTCGATAGGCAGCGTCGCGGGAGCGCTTCAGTGCGAAGGAATGCAGCATTCGCAAATCCCACGCAGCAGTATAAGCTTCCTTCTCGGCTGGATCGTGGCCCCAGCTTCTCGAAGAGCTTCCCAACCTGAGACATATAGCTAAACCCCCGAGATAAATATTCATGATGCATATGTTGAATGACAAGGAACCCCCTTCTCCAAGAAGGGGATGGTAGCACGTTTTTCAACCCCGAAGTACTTCACCATGACAAGCAGGGCAACGCTGTTGAACTGCAAGCCCATAGTACCAACAAGCTTTGTATCCGGGTTCGTCATTTGTTGGCATCATAACCATGGGTTTTTTCTTACCGATGCGACGGCGAATCTTGCGGATCGTCTCCAAATCTTGCTTCATAGCTGCAGTCGGGAGCGCCCCAACTTCAAGACTGGTTTGAGCCCAACAAAACCTCAATGGAACAACAAATACGACAACAGTGCAAGGCCCAGCAAGTCAACGAATTGCCCGATCAAACTCGTAGGCTACACCGTCACAATCATCTTGCGGACCGAGGACGGGGACCATGAAAGATTCTCCTGCTGATGCACGGCTGTTGCTCTGAAGTATAATTATGTGGGTTTGTCCTTTGCACACATGAACAGGACACGCGAAGCCATGGCTGCGCAGCTGGTGGGATCACGGTCTTTCGTTTTGTGCAAAGCTATATCGGTCCTTATTTAAAAAATCCGATCCTATAATATATTACTACGTGGTATACCTATATTAGAGTCCATGCACTGCATGAATTAATGTTCCAGGTCTGAAACCAGGAAGCAGTGCGAATCGCAGCCAACAGCTGAACAGAAAAGGCCTCGATAGAAGAGATTTGGGCAGCTCAGGATTTGAAAATAAGCTATTTTCCAAAGGAGCCTCTTTTAAGTATAATCCCGCAAAGAAATCTGTTTTATGGAAATATACGCATGTTATCGGCGACTTACGCTAGGAACTTTATTTCTATAGGCTATTTTGGCGTTACAGGTATTTT